GAGCACCTTTTGGCCGGTTGGCGTGTGCAGAGCTGATGTTCTGCGTGAGCATCCTCAGCCTCTCCTCTCTCTCGTCATGGAGCCGGAGGTACATCTCTCTCCACGACTCGTACTCCTGCGGAGACTCCCGGCGGAAATCCCGCTGGCAGTGTCGCATCCACAGCTCGTCCGACTCCTCCATGAAGCACTGAGACAGGAGGCAGGGTGTCAGGGTGTCAGGGGGCGAGCACGGCGGGGCCGGCGGCGCAGAGACACTCCGGTACCTGGTTGCACTGCTCTATCCGGTACAGCTGCTCCGGGGTGCACCTCTCCAGCACTGGCTCCAGGATCTCGTAGGGCACCCCACCCACCTCGTCGATCGCTGCAGAGCAGAGCAGGGGAACAGCTCAGCAGCAGACTGAGACAGTGAGGACAGAGCCTGCAGACTGCCCAGGGGCAGGAAAGCGTTGTACTTTTGGGAGTGGTTACTCACAGTCAATGTTGTTCTGTAGCACGCGGATGCACTGCTCAAACAGGCTCATCATTTTGGGCAGGTATGCAGTCTTAGAGCCGGAGTACACCGCCATCTTGGAATTGAAGCGCCGTCCAGTGAAGCCTGCGTCCTCTTCGTCACATGACACAGGAACTGGGGAGAGAGAGACAGCAGCTCAGACACACCTGGAGCTCAGCTGCACAGAGAGAGAGACAGCAGCTCAGACACACCTGGAGCTCAGCTGCACAGCACTCAGAGAGAGGCACACAGGCGGGGGTACCTTTGCGTCTCTGGGGCGACAGCGGGGTTAAGTCGAGCGATGGCAGTGGGCGGTAGTTAGGCTGGATCGCAGGAAGAGGGATGTCCGGGAGAGTGGGGACCACATCCACGACCTGGGAGAGACGGAGAGCTGTCTGTGGCAACAGTAAACACTCCCCTGCCCATCTCCTCGCTGCCTGGAGACCATACAACACAGACGCCCTGTGCAGTACATGATTGTGAAGCAGGACAGGATATAACCAGGCAGCGATGTCTCAACCCTTCTCCTGGAGCCATGTGCGGCTCAGGAAGTCAGCTGTTGAAACAGCTGTGTAGCAACCTGGCGGGACATCAGAGGGCACCCACCACCCCAGCCACCACCAGAGGGCGCCAACAGCATCAGCCACCGCCAGAGGGCGCCCACCACCCCAACCACCACCAGATGGCGCCAACAGCATCAGCCACCACCAGAGGGCGCCCACCACCCCAACCACCACCAGAGGGCGCCAACAGCATCAGCCACCACCAGAGCCGTCAGCATATACAGCCGTGTTTGTCCAGATGCTCACCATTGCGGCCGGCGAGGCTGTCCGTACCTTCCTGCGTTTCTCGGGCGCAGGCGGCGAGGCTGCGGGGGCGGGGGGGGCTCTGGGCCGCTGCCTCTGGCGCCCGTTGGCCTTGCTGGGTGCGGCAGCGGCTTTGGGGGGGGCAGCAGAGGGGGGCCGGGGGGGCTTCTTCTTCTTCTTCCCGGGTGGGGGGGCGTCGTAGTTGAGGAAGGACTCGAAGGACATGGTGGGCGCCTCGAAGGCCTCCTCCTCCTCCTCAACAGCGCCCCCTCTGGAGGCCGGCTTGGGCCGGTCCTGGGCCTGGCCGGGGTCCCGGGGCTTCGCTGGGGGAGAGGGAGAGAGGGGTTACTGCTGCTTCAGCAGACTTCACTCTTACTGCCCCCCCCATCCTCTCTTACCCCTCCCGTCCACTGTGTGCCCCTCTCCCGCCCCAGCAGCACGGTCTTACCCTCCACGCCACCCCTCTTCTCACTCTTGCCCTCCCTCTCTGCCTTGTGGGGGGGGTCAGATGGGCCACGGGGCTGCAGGGGCCGGCTCTGTTTCGGGGGTTTGTCTTTGGCGCCGCCCTGGTGGTCGGCCTCCTTACTGCGCTTCTTCACCTCGCCACTGCCTCTGCCCTGGGGCTTGTCCCCATGACGATGCTCCTTGTCCTTGTCCCGGTCCCGCTCCCCATGAGCGCTCCGATCCCTGTGGGGGTCCTTGTGCGGTTTGGGCGTCTGTACAGAATGCCTGATCTCCCTGCGGGGGCTTAGGGGCGGCTCTTCTTCCGCAGGACTCTCGAACCCCTCTGACTGGTAACCCCCCTGGACGCTGTGGCTGTGTGGGGGGCTGTAGTGGTGTTGGGGGGGAGAGGGCGAGTAACTAGTGTGGTATTCTCTCTCCTCTTCCTCCTCCTCCGGCTCCTCCTCCCTGGGGTGCTGGTCTTCTGGGGAGGGCTCCCTCACGCGTTTCCGCCCACTCTCCCCTCCTCTGGAATGGGGCCGTCCCTCCCTGGCACTGCTGGGCCTGGGCAGGGAGAGACATTGGTCAGATTGGACAGACGTGCCAGCTGTACAGAGAGAGAGGCTGGAGCTCAGACACATCTGGAGCTCAGACACACCTGGAGCT